TTGGTCTTACCATGCAGTGGAGTCTTTTCTCTCCTTGCGGGGAGGAGGTGCCTCCTCGTTCCCTTCCAGCTTTCGCTGTCGCCTCCTCTTGCACCGCCTGCAGGACACAAAGATGACGAGGAGGATGACCACAGCAGCGATACCACCTCCGATGCCCAACGCCAGAAGGAGAAGCTCGGAGAAAGAGGCTGAGAAGGAAACACGGGAATGCAGAGTGAGCGCGTGTACTTGGTAAAACAAAATACTAAAACTGCTCAGAGCCATTAATGAATATGTGTATTCTATGATATAAAATTCATATCATACCAAACGACACTCAGTCTAAAATTGTCTCATTGTTCAAATAAAAATGTGTTTTATTTTAATTTGTTGGGCCGTTTTTCTGACATTAACCTATAATTTCCAATGCCTTAGTTACTTGCTGCTCGTTACTTGTTACTTGCTGTCGTTTATTTGGCTTTTGAGGAAGGGGTGAAATGTGAATGTTTTCAGAGACACAGATAAAACAAGACAGTATTGGTGATGCTGGCAATTCCAGTCCTTGAGGGCTGCTGCCCTGCTTATTTACCAACTATCCTTGCCCTACTCACTGCTCAGAGATGGTATCTCCCAGCTTCTGACTGACTGAACACACCTGATCCAGGTAATCAGCAGTGAGTAGGACAGGGATAGTTGGAAAATAAGCAGGGCAGCAGCCCTTGAGGACTGGAATTGCCCACCCCTGACATATACTGTAGGGATACTTTGTCTGAAAGTCAGTCTGTTGACCTGTGGTGACGACATGGAGTCGAATCTCTCCAACCATGCCGTGCACATCTGGCGGATTCTTGACCAGGCAGATGTAGGTGCCATTGTGGATGAACTTCACGTCTTGAATTGTGATGGAGGCGTCACGACCCATGATGTCACCAGTCCACATAACACGCTTCCTGAAAATGCCCTCCAGTGGAGGATATGGTCGCTGCTGGTAGTGGAACACCTATAAGTGGAATGTAAAGGGGTCGGCTTGGTTGGAGCATCAATGAGATTGATGGTTAGAAAGTCAAGACAAAATGAGACTGGAGCTGCTGGGGAAGAAGTTAGTTTAATCACACAGAGAAAGAAACCAAGACATAAAGCCAGATGCATCCTTTTCACTTTAGGCTGTCTTCAACACTTTGCGGGGAGCCTGATGACTCACCGACTCCTCTCAGTTGGCTGAGGGGGTGGATGCTCCCTGACACAACGAGCAAAGTTGAAGATTGATCTCACTTCCCAAACACATGCGCACACACACACACACACACACACACACACTCACCGACTCCTCTCGGCCTTGCATGAGAGGTCTGAAGCTCCAGGAGACAGTGATGACATCAGCGTTAATAGGAGAGGAACTCTGAAACGTGCACTTCAGGCGGGCATCTGTCCCATTGACTGCCTCCACCTCTCCAGGCGTGTATATCCGTATCCCACTGACCTGCAGCACACCTACAAAATACAGCCATACACAGAACACAGGGCATACAGAGCAAAATCAATACATATAGACATAAACACTTTCTGAAATGAACACAAATACATACAGTAGCAAAAATACAGAAAAACAGATGCAGTTTGAATTCACTCTCATCAGTAAACTGAGTGCATGCATTGTACCCAGTGACCTTCCCTCTGCCTACACTGAGCTGCTGCCAGAACAGTCACTCTCTTACCACTATAACTACATCAGATACATACATTATATTACATTCTGAAATTTTACAGACTGCTCCAAATTGGATCTGCAACCAGTAAGTGAACTCGCTTCAAGCATCTGCTTCATTACACCATGAAAGTTCAAACTAATTTCTGTTTTCAGCTGACCAAATCTGTGACACTTTATGAATAATAGCCACTTTAGCTGTACTACTGCAGCAGAGACAGGGTTGAAATTGAGTGTCTGCTGTATATTATAGGGATATGGACTATATCAATCTTTAGAGTACATGGCAGAGCTATTAAATGAAAAAAAGAATGAACTGGAAGACCAGAGAGGGATATTGTCAACAATTTGGTCCTTCTACTGGATGATGAATGGAGCTCCTCAGAACGGAGTTAGTGCTGATACTCACATAACAGTGCACAAACACACACACACACACACACACATATGCATGCGCTGTCCCAGGCATAAACATACTCTATGCTCCTGCCTGGAGCCAGTCCACATTGCATCAGGAACCAACCAATCACATGTCCCTCTCCCCGAGGTTGCTGATTGTTGTTTATGAAGACAGATCCAGCTTTACTCTAAAGCAGCCCAGTCCAAATTACCTTAGTTTGTTATACCCTAATAATATCAGGAGTCATGTCTAGCCTTGTTGAAGTCTATCCGCAAGTACACAGCAGAGCGTGTCCATCTACAGAGCTAGCCGCCACACTTTGTTCAGGAGTTACCAAGACTTCCTAACATCATTAGCCCACTCCAAATGAGGACCCTGCAGAACAAATCAAACACTCGATAAGAGCTCCGAGACAATTCAGTTTGAAAGAAGAGCTAGCTGTGACCATTTTAGATATGAGACAATGTTTTTGTTGTTGCAGTCACCTAGCATCAGTGTTATACTGTAGTCTAACTTTTAAAAAAAGGATAAGAAATTACTTATAGCTCTCAATAAAATACTTGGAATATTAAAATGCTTTGTATGATTGATACTATAAAGCCTTAAAAGGGTGGAGTAAGCTCTATTCTGCTATTTATAATGTGGGCTACATAATGTGGGTTAATGCAAGTTGAACTTTATGCATAGAAACATGAAAAGTCCAGGGAAGGGCCTGATTGAACCATATTGTTGCCCCTGCATTATAATCACACTGAGCAGCATGGCAGAAGCTACTGTAGCTGGGAAAATGTCAGTAGGGGCTTAGTCCCTTGGGCAGTGTTGTGTTCTTTATCAGGCTAGAGCGAGTTTCCTGTGGGATGGGATAAGAAGGCAGGGTGACTAGATGGCCCCTGTGAAGCATTAAACAGGCTTCTCTCTCATCGCTGGGCCGTGACATAATTCAAGCAGCTTAATGTGTTTTAAAAGAGGCCAGTGAAACCTGGTAGGAGAGTGTACGAGTGAGAAATACAGCAGAAGAAATGCCCATCTTTGCAAAATAATGTTGGCTCTTGTTTCAGAATTACGTTTTTAAATTTAAAAAAGGTACCAATGCAGTGCAGGTGCAGTACATGCTTAAAGTAAGGTGAGTACTTGTATCAATAACTTACTGTCAAGTAAAGCAGACACAATGAAACCCTTTTGGTTTGCATTGGAAATAATGCAACAAAACTTCCCCAGCTGGCAAATGCATTTTTGCTTGTACAAAGAAAAAGGAGAGTTTAATAATTATTTAACTTTATTAGAATAAAATGATTTGTTGTAATGGCTGGATTTCAATAGGAACAAGCCTCCTCTGCAACATTTCTCACTCTTCCTCACTCCTCCATCTACCTGGCAGTGTGCTTAGAAGCACTGAAGTTAGTGGATTAAACCTCCTGTGTTTAGGATACTCATTAAGCAGATAGCATCAGTACTGGATTTTTCATTTCAGCTAGTAATGACTCCCTTCCTGCAAGAATGTGTGTTTCTGCGCATGAATATTCTGAGCCACAAGGTAAAAGTCTACCATTTCATATTTCATGTGAAGGATGGTAAAGCGAGGGAATGGAGGAAGAAAAGAGGAATAGATGTAGAAACTACTGTATGGTGAATTGCATGTCTCACAAAAATGATTTCTACTCCTGTTGACACCAAACTGTAAACCAGGAACACTCGTTTTTCTGTCTGTAGCTACTGTATGTTACTAGTGTGGATTGCTGTGAAATTTTGTGCAGTTATTCATGGTTTCCAGATGCCAAATCCTGATGACTTTAGTGAACCACTGACCTTTTCTCTAGTGCAATCTGCTACTAATAGAACGGGTAAATATCTGCAATAACATTCCCTACTTGTAAATCAGCACAAACAGTTACACCCCTACACACTTATTTGAGAGAGAATAGTGCACATGGTGTATTAACTGAGCAATACGGTGCAATGCCTACTAGTTTAAACGCTGATGCTGAAATGATTTATCATGGTCCATACTGTATAAGAAGAAATAAAACAGGCCCTCCAGGCCAAAATACTTCTTTATAAATGTCTTCCCTTAACCAATCTATTTACTGTGCATGGATTTAAACAGGCATTGCTAATCCTTTTTGAACAACAAAAAAATTTAAATGTTTTCAACTCTGCCTTCTTTTGATGCAAGAAGATTAAGAATTAGGCCTTTTTAAAGACAGAATGGCTATTTGTTCAAAGACAGTACATTAAAGGCTGTGTACACTGCCTCAGTTACTACAGTAATGTGTCCCTGTGGCTAAAAGTACATGATCACTATTTAATTGCTCATTAGCCGGCACTAATTGGTGAGTGAAGATATGAAGAATGCAGAAATTTACCAAAGAGCCTAAGTGAAGAAACAGAGCAGGATGATTGAGTGGATGAGTGACTAAGGAGTGTCTGATGAGGCTGGAGCATAACAAAATGATGGAAAATGCATTCTTCTACATAATTGCCATCTGTAGAAGGATGAGGAGAAGATAAGATTATACAGCTTGTTTGCTTGCTTGTCTGTCCATTTTATTTCTCAAGCATTTCTGTTTGTCCAGTCTAAGTCGCTCACTTGTTTATGTCTAGACATCCTGCCTGGCCAGTGCTGACCACACCCAGTGTCCAGAGAAAGAGCTATTACAGCTTATTAAGACGGAGTTACGTGCGTTACAGAGGAGAGCAGGGCCAGAGAGCAGACAAATGTATTTGAATTATGTTTCAAACATTGTGGACAATGACAGCCATGCTATAGCTTTCAGTAATAGCTGGAAAAAGTTATAAACTGTTATCTTCCATTGTTACACATGTATGAACTGTCATGTATTGTGTGTGTGTGTGTGTGTGTGTGTGTGTGTGTGTGTGTGTGCGTGTGTGTGTGTGTGTGTGTCGTACTCTACTTGAGTATCTACTTTTCTGACACTTTACTTTTACTCCCTACATTTTAACAAATGTATCTGTACTTCCTATTCAAATCAGGCTCATTACTACTGCTTTTAATACATTTTACTTTGCATGTGCTGCAAAATGTGCACCTAGCTGCATTGGGTGGCATGTTTCTTCATTACAAGCTCCTTGCTTTATTTAACGTCTACTGACTCCTCACACTTTCACGAAGATTTTGCACATGCGCAGCTGAGTCTTGCTTTGCTTCACACTGTAAAAATTCATTTGAAGCTTTTGAGGCAACATTTTTAACAAATATACAGGTCTCACACACACACACACACACACACACACTTTGCAACTAAATGCTTAACCATAACACCACCCTAATACCTAAGCTAAACCTAATTCTAACACTTAACCCGAGTCTTAACCGTGGAACAGACCTTTGAAGGGCTGTAAGCAAGTGAGGACTGGCCAAAAAGTCCTCACTGTCCCAAAATACCCTCACTGCCATGGTATAAAACTCAAACCGGTCCTCACGATGTATCAACATACTAGTACACACACACAAAATTACTTTAATAAATATACCAGTGTTGGCGTTAGTCCATAATATCTTTCAGTGTGACCAATATATCACAAGAAAATGAACCTGCAGAACATTTAATGCACTTTATTCTCCCTGTCAACACTGTGTGGTACAAGCTGCACTGGTCCAGTGGTCCATCGGAAGCCAAAGAGCAAGAGCTTTAGTGAAAAATGAACAAACCCAGCCCTCTCAAGTATAATTACATTTGCTCAGCTTGGCAGGCATCTCTGGATTCTTTAAGAGCATTCCAAAGAGGCATACAAATATTATTTGACCAGCCTGAATAATGCTTTACAGTGTCTTTAGTCTGACATTGCCAGTTACAGTACTATGCTTTTCTGGTGCCGACAAAGCTAGATTTCATACTGCACTTGGTAGGAAATTTAGCTGGACATGCTAATATTAGTAACTTACATTAGCACACATAAAGACACTGTTCATCTTCTAAACCAGAGGTTTTCAACTAATTGTGGCCCAGGGACCCGTCTGACTAAGAAGTAAGAAAGGCCCAGGGTCGGCCCGGGATCAAACCTGGAACCTTCCTGCTGTGAGGCGACAGTGCTAACCCCTGGTCTAAACCCTTCATACACAGAGAATCACTCTTATTGTAGCTTCATGCACACTGCTTCATAATGTGAAGATGCAGTGCACTCAATTTACTGTGTTGTCCAGTCTGAGATACAAGCCTCTGATATTGTTCTGCAAAAAAATATTCAGTTCTTCCTTGGACCATGATAAAACTTTTCACTTTCCACTCAGCTAGTTGTTCTGCCAACACAGAAACAAACACAAATGTCTCTTCAGATTTGTTATATTCCATTTAGAACCGTTATCAGTGGAGCATGTCTATAGCTTGTTAAGCCACTCTGGGAGCGTTTCACACAGAGGCATGCTTG